GATCATCTCAACATTCTCAGAAAAGGCTTGTGACAAAGTCCAACATCTATTTATGATAAAAACTTTGAAGCAGTAGGTAGAGTGGGACTTTATCTCAGTTAGATAAAAGTCACATATGAGCAACTACTGCTAACATCATATTAAATGGAGAAAAAACAAAAGCTTTCCTCTAAAATCAGAAGACAAGGGAGTCTCCTATCATCACTCCTGTTCAATACAATATGGGAAATCCGAGCCAGAGCAATCAGGCAACAGACAGAAATAAAGGGATATTCCCACAAGAGGCACAAGTCAAATGATCATTATCTGCAGACAACATGAACCTCTACATAGAAGATCCAAGAAATTCCACCAGAAGGCTCCTGAATTCAGTAATGTAACAGGATATAAAATCAACACATAAAAATCAATAGCTTTCCTGTACACTAACAATGAACTCACCGAGAAAGAAATTAGAAAAATAATACCATTCACAATAGCATCAAGAAAAATTAAATATTTAGAAATTAATCTAAGCAAAGTAGTAAAAGACCTCTACAATGAAAACTACAGTACTCTGAAAAAGGAGATAGAAAAAAACATCAGAAAATGGAAAGCTGTCCCTGTTCATGACAAGCAGAACCAATATAGTCAAATGGCCATACTTCTAAAACTGACATGCAGATTTAATGCAACCCCAATCAAAGTATGAACAGCATTCCTCATAGAACTTACAGAAAACAATCCTAAAATCCATATGGAACCACAAGAGTCCTAGAATAGCAAAAGCAATCCTGGGCAATAAGAACAAAGCAGGAGACATCACAATCCTAGATTTGAAGTTATATTACAAAGCTACAGTGATTAAAAACAGCATGGTACTGGCACAAACACAGACTTGTGGATCAACGGACTAGAATAGAGGATGCAGAGACAACCCAAGCATATTCAGCTATCTGATCTTTAACAAAGGGGCCAAAAACATACACTGGAGGAAAGATAAACTTTTTTATTTTTTTGGTACTGGGGATCAACCTGGGGACCCTGTGCTTGCACAGCAGGCGGCAGCACCACTGAGCTAAAATCCCTGGCAAACTTTTTAATAAATGGTGCTGGGAAATTGGCTATCTACATGCAGAAGATTGAATCTAGACCATTAAATTAAGATCAATATGGATCAAAGAACTAAACATTAAAACACACACAATCTGCTGGAAGATTAAAACAGATTAAAACTCTTGAAGACATAGGCATAGGCAAGGAATTTCTGAGTAGAACCCAAATGACGCACACACACACACAAAATAGTACCAAGAATCAACAAATGGGATTGAAGGACCCTAGTTAGCAAGACAGACTCCATATTGCTGCTTGACCCACCTGCCTGCCCTTTAGATGAACTCAGAAGGAGGAAGCTTAGAAACCTCCTCCCCTTAGAAAGTCTCTTTAGAAACAACAATTAATCAACTATTGTTTTACAAATGTTCTAACTGCAGGACTTTCGCTTCTGTACCTTTCGCTTGCTTTGCTAGTTCTATCCCATAGGGGGGCCTAAAAACTGTTGGCCTCAAAGGTATATAAAACATGTTTGTCTCCCCCCGAGTCGGGGCTAGAGTCCAATGCTTGGCTCGGGTCCTGGCTGGTAATAAACTCCTGTGTGGATTTAATATCGGTCTCTGGTTGGTACTTTCTCACTGGGTGCAACAAGGATCATATCAAATTAAAAAGCTTCTGCACAGCACACAACCAACAGAGTGAAGAGACAAATAGAGAATGGATAAAAAATTCTACCAGCTATTTACTGGACAGAAGATTAATTTGTAAAATATATAAAGAACTCAAAAAAATTAATCTTCCAAAACAAAAGACCCAATCAAAAAATGGGCAACTGGGCCAGGGATTTAGCTCAGCGGTGCTGCCGCCTGCCTCACAAGCGCAGGGTCCCAAGTTTGATCCCAGGTACCAAAAAAATAAAGGGCTACTGAAATAAACACTTCTCAGAAGCACAAATGGCCAATAAATACATGAAAAAAACGTACATTTCTGGCCATGAGAGAAATGCAAATTAAAACAACACTGAGATTCCATCTCATCCCAGAAAGAATGGCTATCATCAAGAAATCAAATAATAAATGCTGGAGAGGCTGTGGGGAAAGAGGAACCCTTCTACACTGTTGTCGGAGTGTACACTAGTACAATCACTACAAAAAATCAGTATGGAAATGCCTCAAAAAACTAAAAGTAGAAATTCCACTTGACCTAGCTATTCCCCTTTCAAGTATCTTTTCAAAAGATTTAAAGACATCATATTATAGTGATATATGCACATCCATGTTTACAGCAGCACAATTCATAATAGCAAAATCTTGGAAGTAGCCTGTATGTTCCTCAACAGTTGAATGCATAAAGAAAATGTGGTATTTACACAATGGAGTACTACTCTGCCATAAAGAAGGATTAAGTTGAGTCATCTGGAGGGAAACAGATGCACCTTGAGACCTTAATGTTAAGTGAAATAGATCAGACACACAAGGTTAAATAGCGCATGTTTTCTCTTATATGAGAAATCCAAGATATACATAAAGACTGAAATAAAAGACAGATAATAGGGCTTGGGGAATGGATCTTTCTCAGAGGGGAGGGGAATCAAGAGATGCAGTGGGGAAAGGGGATGAAGAAAAGAGCTGAGATGTCTCATGTACATGTACAACCCCCACAAGGAATGTAATCATTATGTACTGCAAACATGTGGTAATAAAAAATAAAAACTTTATTTTCTTTTTCTTTTTTATTTTTTTGGTACTGGGGATTGAACTCGGGACCTTGTGTTTGCGAGGCAGGCGCTGGAACCACTGAGCTAAATCCCCAGCCCTAAAAACTTTAAAAAAAAGCAAAATACAAGTTTTTTTTTTGGTACTGTGAATCGAACTCAGGTCCTTGTGCTTGCGAGGCAGGCAGCAGAACCACTGAGCTAAATCCCCGGCCCTGCAAAATATAAATTGTATGTAGCAAATAATGTCATTTATCACTACTACTATTAGCAGTTGTTATTTCTTGAGATTTTTTTCTACTTTTCTAATTATCTACAGGTAAAATAATTTTAGTAAAATTAAAAGCAGAACATGAAATACAGCAACTCCTCAAAAAGACAAATATTTCTATACACGTAGAGATTAAGGACTAGGAGGAAACCATGGAAAACTAATAACTGCAATGAGGAATGAAGCTAGAGTGGTGGTCGGAAGAAGTGTGCTGGGTGACAGAAGTTGTCAATTTGCTTTTTTAAATGACAAGAGCTTTTTAGGCCACAGGTGAAGGAGGGAAACCAGTATCTGTCCAGCACATGCCATGCGTCAGTCCTCGAGCAGTAGAGTTACATCAGCAGTCCCAAGGTATTCCAATCCTACACATTCCAAAGAAAAGACTGGTCCCCTGACCAGCTCCTGGGCAATAACCTGAGACCTAAAGTACATACTGTGAGTCTTAGTATTCCTGGGACTTCAGTTATACCAGAGTAGCCTGACTTTTGGAGGGCTGGAGATGAAGTAAGGTCAGTCACATGTGGCCCCGGGCCTTCGTGGCTCCCACAACATCCCGGACACTGGGACAGGAGTGAGCGTGCCCATAGGCAGTACTCTGCACAGGTTCTCACACGTCTTAGCTGGGAAAATGAAGGGCTGCCTGCACAAGTCCATTGGGACAGACAACTAAGAGCTCCTCCAGCCCATGTGCCTCTCATCTCTGTTCACTGTAATCTGTATTGTTCTACTGTCATAAAGTGTAATTACAGATGTGAGTTTTTTCTGAGTTCTGCTACTGGTCCTACTGAATACTGAACTGCAGGTGGTCTTCAGGGCATCATGACGAACACACACAAGTAGCTCAGTTATAACTGTCATAGCAATCTTTACAAGGCACGTATTATGCCAAAGAGGGCAATTAGACGTGAAAGACAGAAACAAAAAACTAGCACTGATTAAAACAGGTAAATGGAAGGGGTGTGGATCACAGGTCTGTCAGTTATTTACTTGTTTGTTCTTTTGTTTGTGCTTAGTTTTATTGTTTTGTTAAAAACTGGAGTGTAATCAGTGGTTGACCCCACCACTGAAAAAAATTTTTTTTTGGTAATGGGGATCGAACTCAGGACCTTGCACTTGTGAGGCAGGTGGCGGAACCTCAGCCCCTGAAAAAATTTTTAAAAACTTAAAATTGTATCCAAATTAGATATGAAAACTCTAAGTCTGACTCTGACTTCTTTAAGATGGCTAAAGGAGTAAAAATTTATGGTCTTGACATTAAATGGGTAATGAAAAATTTTCCCAAATACAAATTTGTATTAACTCAGTTTTCCCCTGGTGAGTTAAAAACTCAATTATATGTATTGAGCAGTTATTTGCCAACAATCCCATAAGATTCAAATTTAAAGTACCTTATAGTTCTGGCCTTACTGACCTTGCAAGATCCTTGGAAGGTTCTGGGTGAGTATTGCTTATTGGAAACTCTTAGGACCAGAGGTATTTAACATTTGTGAAGTTTTTGGATTTTGGAATATTCACATAATTTTTTTGGTAAAACAACCTTAATCCAAAATTTAAAACTTTGTGAGCATCGTGTTAGCATTAAAAAGTTTTAGATATCAGAGTATTTCAGATTTGGGGTTTTCAGATTAGGGATGATCAAATCTGATGTATAATTTGATGAACTGTATCAAATCAATCTGTATTTGTATTGGGTAATTTCTCTGTCACTATTACATAAACACAGGAAAATGTAGTAAACTGGTCTTCAGGCAAAATCTGGGGCTTACATCTGGGGTTTCAGCCGCAGACTAACTGCTATAGAAATATGAATTAAAGAATTGCAACAAGCTGTTCAGACATTTTGACTACTTTATACTCCTGGATGACTCTATATACTGTTTAGAAAGTGAATAAAATGAACATTAAAAAATGATAAACACAGACAGTGAAAAAGGGTTTGCATAAATCCTGTTTTTCTTACATAAAATAATAGATTTATACCTTCTCATAAAGTCTTTTTCGTATATCAAGTTCCAGATGTCTCATTTCCAAGTCTTTGGCTGTGCTAGCAATTTCTCGATCTCTCATTTGTACCTATGGCCAAACAACATATTGTGAATACCAAAAAGAATTTACAAAGCAATTTTTTTTGGGGGGGTACTGGGGATCGAACTTGGGTCCTTGTGCTTGCACAGCAGGCAGCGAAACCACTGAGCTAAAATCCCTGGCCCCTACAAAGCAAATTTTAATGGATTTAGTAATCTCATGATCTGAACAACCCACTAACAGTATTTACAGTAATGGGGGGACCAGGGATTTAGCTCAGTGGTTCCAGCGCCTGCCTCGAAAGTGCAAGGTCCCGAGTTCAATCCCTGGTTCCAAAAAAAAAAAAAAAGTACAGTGTAGCAGTAAGCCATCTATAACTAGTAAGCTATTTTAGGACACAGAGCTGACATGCAGATAGTGGCACTGGGAGGGAGATATGGGTTTTTTTACTTTTCATAGGTCTGTGATATTC